TGAAAATTTAGATTTCCAACAGATTTTTACATAATTGGTTGCGACAACTTTTGGGTAGCATACTTTTTGGCGTTTTGCCGACATTGTCATGACCTCTAAATATTTATTAAATTCATTAACTAATATTTTATTTTTTTCTCTTTTCTTTTTAGGTAAGAAATTTAAAATCCCCACCAAGGATGTCTCAGAGACTAAATCACAGATGAGTAAGAATTAAGCCTTAAGGCATTTAAACGCCCCATCAATTAGGTTAGGAATTAAGACATAAATTCATGTCGAAACATGTTCGCTTTTCCCTCAAAACAATTACACAAAAATTATGAAATTATGAGCCAAAAAAAGAAAACATTTCATCGCCTTGGAATCACTCTGCTGCTGGCAGTGTAGAACGTAAATATTTCATTTAATGTCTTTAGCAATTTGGCGCTCAGCTCGAAGCTGTTGTCATTTTTCATTTCAACCACCCACCAAGGACCAAGGACCACCCACCACCCACCTAAAGCAGCAGTTTCCTTTTGGCATTAAAGTGAAATATGGCCAAGAACTGGGAGAAGTCGAAAGAAAAGCAGGGCGGCCAGCTAACGACATTGACAATGACTATTGTTTTGCTTTCGCTTCGAAATCCTTGAACATTTTTAATGTCTTTCACATTTTTCATAGTATACTTAAGTTTTTGACAAATTTAACAGATTTTGAATTGCAAGAGGCCACATCGCCTGGAAGTATGCAATCAAAATGGATTTTAATTGATTTTAGCTTCATTCGACTGTAAAAGTCATTGACTGCACTCGCACATAGACTCGCACCCACCTCCACCCTCTTCAAATTCTAAATTGCATAAATTTATTTCTCTTACTCCGGCCGGAAAGTGCCACGCCTACCACCTGACGCTGCCTGAAGGCCATTTGTAAAATTGATTACGCGCATAAATTGAAGCAGACGATGACGATGAGAGTCCTGCTTCTAAGCTCCGAGGACATGAGCCAGGGTACGGGAGGGCAGGACTATATAGCGGAGATTGGTTTAGTCTGCCGAGTGAACATTTTTGCATTCGACTAGGCTAGTTTTAAATTGAGTTTTTAAAGCCAATGCCTCCAAATGAAGGATGTTATTATATTTATATAATAAAATTCAATTAAGCCTAATTGCTTTCATATGTATATATGTGTGCTCTCAATTCTTTTCCTGTTTGGCCCGCTTTCTCCCTCGAGGATGCCCCAAAGTTATTAGTCAATTAACAGCAGCGAAATGTTGCAATTAATGTTGCGTATTCCGGCGCTCCAAAAACTATTAGAACGACAGAGATAGCAAGGCCAGAGGGAGAAAGAGAATTCCCTGCTGGCAGTGCCGGCATTGCCATAATTATAACAGTGTGAAATGTCGGAAACATGCGAATTAGTTGGGTAGTTGGTGGAGGAAGGGTACTTGGGGGCCCAAATGTATGAGGGAATCCAGTTTAGAGGCTCAGTACCTGTACTGTACCACAAAACACAAGGAGACACTTTTGAAATAAATAAGGTGACCAGAGTGAGGTTCTCTGTCTTCAGTGTGACCTTAGTTTTTAAAGTGTGTTGTTCAAAACAGGCCAGAAGTAATTAATATTTTTTTTTTTAGTTTTAAAATTTGGTTTTGGTAGTATTTGGGAGAGTTTATAAAGATTTCGCATAGGTACCTGAAAATTGAAGAATTTTTCAACTAATAATTGAAAAAAAGGAATATAAAATATTTTTTGAAAGGGTCTTCCGACACTTTTGTTGCCTGAGCTAAGTTTGGAGTTTGAACCAAGCCATAAATTATTAAATTACAATTTTTCAAAGATAGTTATCATTCTTTTGAACACAGTTTGTCAAGATATAGCTATTTTCCCAATAATAATTAAAATAAATAAAAATATAAAACATCAAGCTCAAGTCTCTTTCGACATCTTTGTCGCCTGAACCCCTATGATATGCATGATACTGGCATGTATATTATAAACATGTATGTTCTACTGATGGCTAACCAAAGTAGCGGACACTCAGAAATGCCAACATCAGCACAACAATTGGGATGGCTCAGCACATCATCATCACTAAAGCAACAAACAGCGGGAAAGAGATGGTATCATCAAGATAGAGAGTGACAGGGACAATAAAAGCAATGTCAGAGGACGAAGAGCAGAAATTAGTAATTTACACGCCATGGCAGGTCGAATGTGAAAGGCCAACCCTTAGTAGCTGGACACATGGCATATGTAATGGGAGCATGATTATGGCAAAACTGCAATTAGTAATGGAGAATGCATGAGTGGCTTTAAAGGCGCGTTTCATTGAAAATCACTTAACATTTGGAATTCCAGTAAAAATAACCAAGAAGAGCAGGGTTCTTCTCTTCTGAGGGTTCAATGAACGCCATGGTCTGGTAGAAGGAGCTCCCAAGGAGAGGCAGAGCCAGTCAGACAGCAACAGCAGGAAGTTAAAAGGCCCACAGGCAACAAATGTTCACTTGGATGGATCAGCTCAGCATCTGGGGGGTGTGGCTCAAGGAGGAGGGTTCGGTGATGAGTGCACAAGGTGATGAGTTATTCAGAAAGCATGTGCAAAGTGTCAGAAGGAATCAAAAATGGAATTATGCAAGCAGATGAATGAAATGAGAACGAGGGGGGCAGGATTGGGGGAGATGGGCCTCTAAAAAAAGGCCCAAAACATAACTGAAAAAAGGAATAAAATAATAATACAAAGTTAAGGCAGATGTGACCCGCAGGCGAGGTCCGCAAAACCCAGAAAGTCATTGAAAAGTTATTTTTAAAAGCCTAAAGCAGCTTAAAGAATTGGAAAAGAATGTAAAGTTATAAGGAGTTTAGAGTTTATAGAACAAATAATACCCTAAAAATAAAAATATAATAGAATTTTAAAGAAAAATCTATAAACTCTTCGAAAAAAATCACCTTTTTAATAGAATTCCTATATACCCTTTCAATCTCAAAGCTATTAAAGGGTATTAACAACCATCCCAGAGTCAATCGAAAGGATATTTGAATTTGTTTGCGGCGTCATCGCCAAAAAACCGGAAAAGCAAGATGACAAAAATAAAATAAAAATACGAAAAGGAAACTTTCCCAGCAACGAAATGGCAATTTCAAGTTTTCCACCCTCTGGAAAAACCCTTTTATTCGATTTCGATTCCAAGCACTTGAACACGAAACTCGTACAGAGGACCGACCCCCTAGTGGACACACCTGGAGTGGACCGAGACAATCGAAGATGGGTTTCTATTCCGATTGGTTTCGATCAATCAGTGAGGGAAACTATAACAAATTTTCAAGTAGATTGAAGACGACCCGCACAAATCAAAGGGCCAGAGGTCAAAGATGATAAATTATTGATCTTTTTTTGTATCATTTTCTTCTGGGGTCTCATTATCATTTAGTTCTGGGTCTCTTGTAAGACACGCACATGATAAATGATTATCCATTAAGTGGCATTGAAAGCAGAAGCGAAAAATAGGGGCAGGGTATACGTGGCAGGAGGCATCACAAAAATTGCAGCACACACACGCATCCATCATCATCATCAGGCCGTCTTTGTCTTGTCGTTATTTGTCCAAGTATGTGGTCTCTCTTTGTAATTTTTGATTTTACAACCCAATTCCAAGGCAAACAATAGTAAATTTTAGATTTTGGGACTTTGATAGATTGTTCTTGGAGTTGTAGAATCTCTACCCATTAAATTCCATCATTTCTTTGATGCTTTTCATTGCTTTTTGGCTTTAATCGTCTTTTGTTGCTCCTCATTATCATTAACACTTGTGACATTACGCCTAGACATTTCATTTCATTCATTTTCCCAAGCACTGGCTCAGACATGCAAATGGTTTTCATTCTATAGCGCCCTAATGTATGCTACACTCCAGTGCGATGCTGACTCATCCAGCCATACATATAGAAACCAATTCAATCTGCAGCAATTTGCCATAATTTTGAACGCTTAACTGTCGTCGTCGGCCCGAACTAACAGGGCCAGAAGATTTACGAGCCACGACTTATCACACAACAAGACAAGGATAGAGCTATAAGAGAGGGAGAGAAGGACAGAAAATAAGAAGAAATTTTGGTAACAGGAGAAGCTAAAGATGCTGCGCAGTTTTTGGCCAAAAAAAAAGGAAAGCAAAGACCATAACAAAAATATTTTTCACCGCAGACAAGGCGACAGGAATAAATTGTGAGAAAAAAAGACACTGGAAAAAAGTTATAGAAGAATCTATAAGGTTTTAAGAAGCTAAAATATATATATTCCTAAGAATCTAAACAAGTCTTTCTACTAAAAGAAAATATTCTATAACTTAGAGACTAATTATTCAAATCCTCAGTGTAGAAAAAGGAGTGAGTCAAGCAGACAGACGACAAGGACTTTCTGCCAGACAGGACGAACGCTGACTAACCAACGCCCCGTCCTGGCCAATGGCATCATAAAAGTTTCCTTCTACCAAGTCTCGGTAGCCTTTCAAAGAAGGTCCTTAATTTCACCCCCAAAACTATGCAAACACTGTCTGTTGTTTGACCTTTTTTCTGAGCGTACATTATTCTATTGCTAATTTTGTGTCTTTGTCTCAAAGGTTGTTTATCAATTGTTAGACAATACACATTTCAGGCCATTTCCCGGCGCCATTTCCATTTTGTAGGCCTGAATGGAGAAATGTGATTTTCCTCCGACAGGCTGGGAGAACGAGGACTTTCCAAACAAAAGGAAAATAACTCTGGCATTGTCAGTCAGCCAAGGCGAAGAGTTGAACGAACTTTTAAACTCCATCGAATGTTTGTTTGTTTCTTAGTCTGTGACTGTCTGAATGGAAAAGGCGGGTACAGGGATGGGTTTTTTGTATAAAGTGACACTTTTGTCGGGAGAAGAGTAGAATCGGATCTGTTTTTAATGCCACACTTGAACAATAACTTGAATACTAACTTGAAATGCTTACTGAAATATATTTTCTAATTAAATTTTAATTTTCTTCATCCTTTATAGGGCCGTTACAGATCCCCGGGATGGACGACGTGTGGCCCTCAAGAAGCTGCCAAATGTATTCCAATCGCTGGTCTCATCGAAACGCGTTTTCCGTGAACTGAAAATGCTTTGCTTCTTCAAGCACGAGAACGTAAGTCCTTAAACTCATTTATCCTTGATTGTAATCCTCAACAAACGCCACCACTGATGACATAAAAAATTTAATTAAAATATTTACATATATGAGCTGGCACTTTTGGATATAGTGAGTGAATGTATTGGGGGGTGGTCCCTGTTGGATATTTATCCTTTATTTCTTTGTATGTGAAATATTACGTATACGCCCTGTGACTGCACAACAACTGCCTTTGGCTTCTCTACTCAGCTCTTGCTCTGGCTCTGTTCTGCCATTTTTATTAACAATTATATTTTCCACTTTAGTCCTGCTCGCTGGTTTTCATAATATTTACAACTGAAACAGGCAGGATAGTATCTGGAAAGCCTGCGTAAAATATTGTATCCTTTTCCCCATCCATTTTTTGTCCTTCTGTGCTGTTTTCTCTGCTCAAGTGGAATTATTATCATTAATTAAATGCCTGATATTGTCTGTTAATTTATTGAATTTAAATAGTTGTCTTTCAAGGGCCGAAGGCTGCTCCTCAATTGGGTTTTCTGTCATTAATCAGAGGGCTGGTTAAAAGTAATTACACAACACCATGATAAGACAGCCAACAAAATCAATTTCATAAACAAATTATATTATTTTTTGGTCTGTCACTATTAAATTAATGTTTGAAAAACATCTGTGAATTGTTCAACATTTTCCTACATTTTGCAGCCAAAGGCATAAATCCATGGTGTAATTTTTGCCAGAAATATACATATATTAGTAACAGTCAATTTTTTGTGGAAATAAATCCTTTTCCAGCTGTCGTCGCTTATAATTTATTTACATATTCATTGCGATTGCTAGTCTGCACGAGTTATGAAAGATTCAATTGTGTTTTGTGTGGTTTAGAACCTTTTTGTTGTGACACCACCATGTTTGGAGGATTTGACATTTGCTTTTAAAAGTCAGCGATCTAAAAAGAAACTGTCACATACGATTCGTTCGAGTATTAAATGTCATGGTCTCTCCTTGGTGATTGTGATTTCAATAATTTGTCTCGAATTGGTTCGACTTCATTAGCCAGCAAATAGGCCGTGGGCTGTCTGAAGCTGGGAGTCTATTTGCCGAAAGATATATTCGTCCAATATCGTGGCCATCTCGCATCATCATCATAATCATCATTACCATTTCCATGTGCCCACATGATTTACTATTTTTTTTATTATTTTCAGCTTGGCTGCGTGTGAATTTCGTAATGCAAGTAGAAGTGGGCGTTGTAGAGCAGACAGCTCTAGCTCTAGGCCCCTTAGGGGGGGTATCTCAATTCCATATTGCCGCAACACCTTGCCCAATATGCAAATTTTCTATTAATATGCATAAATTGCTGTAGGTGGTGGATGGGTGAGAAGCACAACAAACGAAGGCGCGACTTTGTCTCATGGTTGTGTATCTGTGTGAGATTTGTTGCATCTGTCTGGGTTTCCTGTTTCATTTCCTACATATAGTACATGACAGACATCATTCAGAGAATGGCAAACAAGTGCAATCAACTCCAAAAAGCAAGGAACTCCCTCTCCCTCAGACAAGTTGTTGACAAGCTGGATGGAAAAATATAATAGAGGCACGTGGCTGGGTTTGCATTTTATTGCAAATTGGGTTCTCCATTCCATTTTCCATGTGTGGACGTGGTCGGGGACGTGGACGTGGCACGACTCGACTATTTATAACTCAATCAATGGAAGACCTTCGTTCGATAGTTTTTAAAAGGAAATTTATGTTCTGATTTGAATTGATGGAATTGATTTCGATTTCAAAGCGATGGAAACAAGTTTAATTACTTGCATATTTTCCTGAAAGGCCATACATTAAGCTGATAGTTGCCCTCTTGACCCTTTCCATCGCTGGATTTGAAGAAAATCCTACCTCCTCTCATGCTTTATGCATATTGCAGCTTAACAAATCGCTGCAAAATGTTTTCGCTCCATTATCCGTTGATATTGTTGATGCTGTGTTGCCCATTTCAATTGCAAAATCAAACCAACAACAATGTGGATGAAAAAAAATTGAAATTTCAATAAAAACGATTTTCTGTTGTACTTTATTTCTCATTGCAAGCGTACGTGGCGCAAATTTCAAAAGCATTTCTCGCATGCAACTCGGGGCGCGGCACGCCAGGAGCGTTGATATTTATTTTGCGTATTTTTATTCCAGTTCTCCACCCCCTTACCTACATTTAGGACTGTCATCTCCCCTGGTTCCTGGTAGGATGTAAAGATTTCTATATGGCAGCATCTCTTGACTTTTGCCATCTTGGCTGCCCAAAATGATTGAGTTTGACGCCCTGGCAGCATCAATTGCATGCAAATTTTGTTATTATTCGCATTGCTTTCAGCAATTGAAATGCCAATTTCGATGGGGGTTTCTCCTGGGGGATATAGCTTTCAAGAGGCATATGTTTATTTAGCGAGAAATTGATTGGAATGAAGTTATATGAAAATATATGGGGATATTAGAAATTATATTAAATTTAATATCTACAAGAAAAGGGAGGATGTATAGATAAATGGCTCGTTTTAAGAAGCGGGACTTAATATGAATATGTTCAAGGAAGGGAGAGTATATACATAGATAAATGACACGTTTTAAGAAAGAGATAAAAAATATTAAAATGTTTTTTAAAGGAAATTTCTATTGATATATGGCTCATTTTAAGAAATCTTTAATAAAATATTAATGAGGGTTGGGAAAAAAGATTAAATGCCACATTTGACGAATGCATTAGTGAGAAAGAGTACATATAAATAACACATTTTAATATATATATATATTATTATTTTGAATTTATGAATTAATAATTTAAAACACAACTTCTACCAAAAATATTATAAAGTTTCTTGAATAATTTCCGGCTAATCAAAGGAAATCCATGTTGTATCTCCCCAAGGCAATGTACCACCTCCATGTAATACTCAATTTCGGTGAAGTTCTTCAAGACCCCTTCTCCAATGGGCCACACTACTAACCCCCCACTCTATTCATTTAATTAGCCAACAAATATGTGTTGACAGCTGCTGCTTGACAATCTTTTAGCTAGAAATTTGTACCTCAGCTTGGAATGAAAATACTTGTGAAGTCGAAGCAGCAGTGGTGACACTTTTGCTTTTGTTTTCTCAACATGGTAGGGGGGCTAAAAATTCGCTGGAAGTTTTAGAGAGCTACCCAGAGATGCAGAGCTATGGAGGAAGTTGTAGACAAGATCTGGAGTTAAGTGGGTTGGCTTGGCATTGGGGCGGGGTGGTGGCACAGCTGCTAGTTGCAAGAGTTGTACACGAGTTTCACTTGTTTCGCTGTCTCTGTGTTTAACCAGAAACTGTTTTCAAGCCAGCTAGCCAGTCAGCCCGTCAAGCTTCTACTCAACCTACATAGTTAGTTGTTTTGGTTATTACCGATTTTGTTAAGACTCTAACCTCCCTCTACCCTGGACAGCAACACTTCAAGGACACTTGAAGCTATAGCCCTCCTCGGAGTCAGAGTCGGAGCGGAGCTGAGCTCAGCACAATGCATAAATTTGGTTTCTGATTGCAAGCCCAAGCCAAGCCAAACCAAAATGTTAATTAGCTGCAAGCCGCTTGCTGGCTGGTTGGCTGCACGTGAGACCCCAAAAAATAATTCACCCACCGCCGGAATGGCAATAACAATAACCCCTCCGGCCTGAGCTCAGTACCAGCGGCAAATTACGCGCCTGCGCTGTGGAGTAAACTGAAGTCAACTCAAGTGCAATAAGGTGAAGTGCCGCAAATGAAGCTAACCGAAAAAAAAATAAGAAAAAAAATATATATCAAGAAACTGCAAGAAAACAATTGGAAACACTTGAGTTTCGTTTTTTTTTGACTTGTTGAGAAAAATGAGATTACAAGATTTTACTTTAAAAGATTTTGCTTTTTGATTGTTCTTTCATTGAAAGAGGTAGTATTTTGTAAAGAATTTGATGTTAAAGGCCTGAAATGTAATAAAGGCATGCCTTATTTTTTGTTTTTGGTGTTTGGTTTTTAATAAATATTTTATTTCTTTTAATAAATAGCTGTAGCTCAGACTTTGAGAGCTCTGAGAGGACATAGTTGAAGAAAATAAAGCAAAAATGTTGTTTTCTATCGGTCTACATAAGTATTAAAAGAATGTTCCAATTTTATTCAGATAACTCAAAGCTAGATAATCTCTTAAGACTTCAAACCCCAAACATATGGAATATAAATACCCTTCAAACTAAAAAACCACCAAAATCCCAGATCTAGAGTCCAAAAAAAATCGAATTAAACTTTATGAGCTGGCCTTTATTTCGCCAAAAACCACAAAACGCAACAAATGCAGTCACCAAATTACCTCACAGGCAGCAGAGCAGTGCAGCTGGGTAAGGGGATATTACAGAATATCCAGAGCTACCAGAGCTGAGCAGACAAAGAAATAAATATAAAAAAAATAAAAAATATAAAAACAAAAGAGTCTAGAGGAGGCAGAAGGGGCTGGTTGGGACGGAATGAAGAATATCACGTCGCTCCTGTAGAGCGAAAGAAACTTTGCCACTTAAGACCGACGGAGACTGGAAGACGGCGACGAAGGCTTAGCCAGCCTGGGCCAAAGCAACAAAATACCAACAACAACAATAACAATCTGCAACCAACAACAACTTGCAACCCAAAGTTGTCGGCACTTTTTGTTGTTTGGTTCGCAATGCCCCGCGAAAAGTGCTCAAAATTGCTGAACTGCTTTTTAGCTTTGGCAACTGCCGACAGTTTTTGTTTGTGGCATTGTAGGGGGGAGTTAGGGGAGGGGGATGCGGCACGAAAGAGCTTCGAATGTGCAACATTGTGGCTGGCAACATTTTTTTGCTGCAACTCCTCGTATTTCCCCCTCCTGTGTTTTTTTCGGTCAGTTTACGCATGTTGTGTTGCCCCAACTGGTGGCTTAGTATAAATATTGTAAATTGATTTTAAATGGGTGGGATGGGGTAGGGGTGTGGTAGAGGAGGGTTGAGGGTTGAGGAGTAACCCTGAGTGACTCTCTTTCGGTTTAGATTTTTTTTGATGTGATTGCTCGGCAGTTCCTTCATCATCCTCGCCACACCGCAAGCGAAAATAAATCAGCGCTTGTCTGTCTGGTTTTGGCTTCTTTTTTTTTATTCTTCTGTCCATCAGTCCTGGTAGTCTCCCCTCTTGGTTAGCCAGACTTGGCGTGTTTTTGTACATCCGAGGAGGAGTAGTAGTAGTACAACCGCGGGGTCAACAATTTCCTTGGCAGGTTTTGTGCCTTTTTGTTGTTCTGCTGCTTGTGGCATTTAATGTTCCGGCAGCGCGACACTTAACATGCAACCTGATTTTTATTGCAACTCCATAATTTATGACCCCCAGCACCACGTAATCCCCCCTTAAATGAGGTGTAAACTGTTGCCTGGTCATTGTCTAGGGATTTCAGATTTCAGACTCGGTTGAATGACATTGCAAAATGTATGAATATACATATTTATTATAAATGATTATTGATTTGTCACTCAAGTGTGTGTTGTTAATTAATAAATGGCTTTTATTGTTATGTACTTGCAGGTACTTTCGGCCTTGGATATACTACAGCCGCCGCATTTGGATTTCTTTCAAGAAATGTATCCTTTTTACAAAAAAAACAATACCAAAACTTTTAATATTTTCAGGTTTTTTAGTTTATAGTTTTAATAGTTGTCCCTGGAAAGTATATACCTTACTCTATGCTGACCCCTCTCCAAATATTAATCCACTCTGCAGTCCAAGCTGCCAAAAACTAAACAAAATCGATTTTATTAAGTGCCGAGCCACCCACCACCAAGTTGGGAAACTTTTGGGATAAAAGCAAATGTAACTAATTGAAAAAGTTTTCCAGCACAAACAGGGACTCACAAAAAATAGGGTTTTATTTTTTTAAAGAGTATTCAAGTCTTGGTTTCCACCTTAACCCTTATAACGCTTCGATCCTAATAGCTATGTGATAACGGAACTGCTGCAATCGGATCTACACAAGATAATAGTATCGCCGCAGCACCTATCCGCCGACCACATCAAGGTGTTCCTCTACCAGATCCTGCGCGGCCTCAAGTATCTACACTCGGCCCGCATCCTGCATCGCGACATCAAGCCCGGCAATCTGCTGGTCAACTCGAACTGTGTCCTCAAGATCTGCGATTTTGGTCTGGCCCGCGTTGAGGAGCCGGATCAGGCCAAGCACATGACCCAGGAGGTGGTCACCCAGTACTACAGGGCACCGGAGATTCTGATGGGCGCCCGTCACTACTCCTCGGCGGTGGATGTGTGGTCGGTGGGCTGTATTTTCGGTGAACTGCTGGGTCGTCGGATTCTCTTCCAGGCCCAGAACCCCGTGCAGCAACTGGAGCTGATCACAGAGCTGCTGGGCACGCCCACCATGGAGGATATGCGTCATGCATGCGAGGGCGCCCGCACCCACATGCTGCGCCGGGCCCCCAAGCCGCCATCCTTTTCGGTGCTCTACACACTCAGCTCCCATGCCACACACGAAGCGGTGCACCTGCTCTGCCAGATGCTGGTCTTTGATCCGGTACAGTACATACTCTCCTTTCTGATGGGTTAGCTCTCTAATCCTTTGGTATCCTCCTTCAGGACAAGCGCATTTCGGTGACGGATGCCCTGGCGCATCCGTATCTGGACGAGGGTCGGCTGCGTTACCATTCCTGCATGTGCAAGTGCTGCTTCACGACCTCGGCTGGAATGCGCCAGTACACGGCCGACTTCGAGCCCTCCGCCGGCCAGCCCTTCGATGATCTGTGGGAGCGTAAGCTCACATCCGTGCAGCAGGTCAAGGGTGAGTCTATAACTTATACACTCTGGGTGTGAATAATATTTCATAAAATAACTGAAACTTGCAGAGGAGATGCACAAGTTCATAGCCGAGCAGCTGCAGACGGGTCGGGTGCCGCTCTGCATCAATCCACAGAGTGCGGCCTTCAAGAGCTTCGCCAGGTGAGTAATGCCCCTCCGTGCCACACTTTCTTGCCCCCTACCCCCCAGAGAACATACCTATTTACTATTTTCCAACCTGCACGCCGTCCTGTCCAGTCTACCCTCTGAAAATTTACCCTCTATTAGTCAAAATTGTTAACTTATTAATATAATTTTTATAACTTGATTAATTTTTATGATTTGATTTTATTGAAAAAAATTAATTGATCATGGCTTCCTACATTTCCGCTTTGGTACTCCCCGAGTCCCCCCCAAAAAAAAACGTTGTACCCGTTGTCCATCCATAACTCTTTCTCTCTCTATAACTATAACTATACTCTTCTCTCTATCTCTAACTATCTATCTATCTATCTATCTATCTTCACTCACTGTCTCTCTGATACTTTTGATTATTTTTGATTTGTAACCTTATTTTAAAATGATCTTTTTCGTTTGTTCTTTTATTTTTGTTGTTCAACATGGATATTAATCTTGAAAATTTCTATTAAATCGAATCGTTCGTTATATTTGCGTTGTTAAGCCAATGAGAATGAGAATATCTACTACTACTACCACTACCACTACTACTACCACTACAACTTGCACTGCTGCTCCTGCCGCTGCTCCACATCGCCGCCGCCTATACGATTCAGCCCGCTGATATTAAGACGATTATGATCTAGAATCTACATAGAATCCCAGACTCAGATCAAGAACCCTAGGCGAGCGATCGATCTCTCAAATCAAAAAATAAAAATCTAACAAGTAAAGCGCAGAGGAGTCAAGTCACAAGATACAGATAACCAGTAATCTGCCGAATGAATAAATGAATGACGAATGATTAAACCATGATAAAGATACAATAATACAGATACAGATACAGATTTACCGAAAATGAGTCCTCGGGGCGGCAACAGAACAGTCTCTCTACTCCTTTTTAGGTCTGTTGATAAAAAAAGCGAAAAACTTTTACTAAATATTTATTTATTTAGTTTATCACCCTTTGTGTTCATATCTTTTTAATATCCTTTCTCTCCTACCTTTATGCAAAATGTGTAAAAAATACAAAAAAAAAACCAAAAAAAAAAAAATTATTAAATAATTTATTAGTTTTAACGTTTCCCTTATGATTAACTCTTAATTTTTGATTTACAATTATAATTTCATTTCTTTTAAATGGGTATTTTTGCGTAATTCTTTTTTGTGTAAATAAATGTTTTCTTAAAAAAAAAACAGCAGGATGTCTAACCTGAGATTACTCTATAAAATAGTTAACAAATGTCGCAGCGAAATTAAAATTTAAAATTAAAATTAAAACTCTAAAAATTGGCCAGGAAAAGGAAGAAACTGCCAGAGACATTTTCAACTTTTTTATAAAAAAAAAATCCTATAATGAAAAAAAAATAGAACCTCATTGCATATATCCAGCTATATACATAATCGGTTTTGTGTTTATGTTTTGTGTTCGCATTCAACTCATATATCTATACATACTATATATTCGTAATCGTGTACAGCATATACAGATTCCATCAAAGTAAATTAAGCCCCATTTATCACGACACCGACACCGATACCGATACCGACACTGACCATTATCTCCCTCCATGTACTGCAATGCACACACCCCATCTCTCAAACAATGGATCCACACATCTGCTTTAGATTTGTCCACCAACTAGACCCATTTAACAATTTTTTAAGACCCTTACACTTAAGAGCTCCATTATCAAGCCAATCTCACTAGCTCAGTCATTGTCAGTCATAAAGCCCAATTATGCAGTCTTAAGACAAGTCTACAAAATTCATGTCCCAACGCTTGGATTAATTTAAAAATAAATTTGAAAATTTGTACAGTTTATAAAGTGCAGCTGAGCAGCAGTGACAAAGCAAAAAGTTGACAAAAAATATAAATAAAATAAAATCCATTAAGTAGATCGCTTGAACAACTTCCGCCCTCAATGAATTTTTGATTCTTAAAATTAACAATTCCAAATTTTAATTTGTACTTTGAGAACCCGCCCCCCAAACTCCAAACCGAAAACTCTATCCGTAGTTTCTCCTATTTGTACATTTTTTGATTTCGTATTTTGTTTTAAGATTGTTTTAATGGGAGCTATTTTAGTAACTAATTGTTGATTGTTTTTTGGTATTGAATTGAAGCTTTAAATGTTTTCTCTAACCTTTATGTTGTAAATGGCATGAACTGACTCTTATTTTAAACTAAATAATATCCAAACTTGAATAATTAAAATGTTTTTATTATTTTTCCGAAAATGTAGCTCGACTGTGGCACATCCCTCGGAGCTGCCGCCGTCGCCTCATCAATGGGAATGACGGCAAAATGAGGCGATTGCTGCCTAAAACCGAAACAAAAGCAACTCAGCCAAACAATAAGCCCTCGCCGAAGTACTAGAACAGGAGGATCCCCCAGTACCACCCCCAAAAACCAGTCCAAATCAACCCAAAACCCCACAGAGGATGTGCAACGCAGCCAGGAACAACGTTTAAATCATTTTTTTAAGCGCCAATACAGCTTTTAAGCGGCGTTTGTCTGTTTAAAAGTTGAAGCATTCCACCACCGAAAAATAACTAAACGAAAAACAAAAACAAAAATATTTAATAATATTATAGACAAAACAAATATGTAACGTAACTCAACTGAAACTAGTCTAAAACAAAAACAAAAGCAAGCAATTGTAGTTAAAAAAGCAGCAGCAGAGACACAAAACCCGCAAGTTAAAAAAAATTAAAAGCTAAAAAACTTAAAAACTAAAAAAAAGATATGTAAGCAAAAGAAAAAAATTGAGAGAAGATCGGGAGCAGTTTCTACGCACTAAATGCAAAGCGTAAAGGTCTTAAATAATGTTAATTTATTGGCAACAAAGAGTATGTACATTTTGTTGTGCTTGACGAGAATTGCAACGATTTCGATTCGAATTCAAACAAAACAAACAAAACACACAAAGAAACAAAACGTTTTATGTTAAGCTCCTAAGAAAAAATCTATGTATATGTAAATTAATTAGCAACACACAGACATCGTATTCATTATTATATATATATATATTAATATCGCTTAACTATTAAATATATCGAGATACATATATTTAAAATAAAATAGTAACAAAATGCACACAAATCCCAACATTTGTTTGCCGAAAATTTACCTCAAAGCGAGTAAAACCATAAGCGAATAGCTTCTTCAGCCACGAAATGATTAATTGATTTTCTGTTAGCTTACGATTACAAAAAATATATATATAAAGTATGAAAACTAAATCTAATTGTGTGTAGCAACAGCTAAAGTGGTGTACTAAAATGCTGACAAAATTTTATTTCAAATTATGCAACTACTTTCATTTTAAAAACAAAAAACAAACAAACATTTGAAGCTTCAATTTTGAAACTGGTTTCTAGATGTATACTGACTAAGCGATGGTCAGAGTTTCCACAACTCGTATATATACACTTATACACTATATATATATATATAGCAACTGTAAGCTGACCCAAAACTCATTATTAGAAAAAACAATTACGAAAAACATTTGATGAAATTAGTTCAAAGTTTCAACTGTCGACTGAAAAAAAAATACAATACATAAATTAATATAAAATATATATATAAAAATGAAAAGATTTCATCTTACTTTAGTTATGACAAATTTCGCTTTGATAATAGTTTGTTTTTAAGCTTATTAACCGTATTCTAAATAATACTTAAACTAACAAGCCGACAAAGGAAAAGAAAAACCAACAAGTGGACGACACACTGCCCCCCAGTGAATGCGATCCAGGCGGTCGAACCCAAAACGGCTGCAAAGATGTATCTTCATCTTTTGGGCCGTAAGATAAGGTATACCGCCTGGATCGATTCGATTTTAGTTGATATATATACTTTGCTTTTAGTTGATTACCATGTAATATAGTTTAATTTTCGACTAACTACACTTCTGTCTCTCTCAATGCTCATTGCTATTGATGCTATAGCTAGGGTGCAGGACAGGATCGGTTATAGAGGATCAATTGCAACGGCTTCGGCTACCCCGAACATTATGTGTATGTTTAAGACTGAGTTTTCTCATTTGACGACAATGACGATTGATTAACTGAGGATATGCAATATAAAAATTCAACTTTGGTTCGCACGAAGGAGTCTAAAATAAATTTTGATCTAGCCTATAAGCATTAAAACGAAATTTTAAGAAAAAAAAGAAACCCACAATTGTATACCGACTATACATATATATGTGTGTGTGTGCATTTGCATTTGTAATTCGAATGTCCTTTGTCTTCAATGTTTAGAGCAAGAAATTATAAATAATGCATGAATAACATATATATATATATATTTATAATCGATGAGAAAAACCATTTATGATGTAGATGAAGCTCTCGAAAACTGAAGCTAAACTATAACACTTTTCCTCCACTTGAATTCTCGTAACTGTGCTGCTTTCTTATGTATGTAGTTATTAATTGTAGCATTATATATATATTAACCGATATATATAAATGTATGGATTAGCATAAAACAAACGAAAAACAAAAAAACAAAAACATATATGAATTCAAAACTTTCACGGAGATCTCATAGCAAAAACAAAACGAAATGAAAGAAAAGCAAAGGAAGGAAGCATCGGTGTGCAAGAAAGTAGAGTTTCTTTTCAACTTTTTGTTTATAAACTAAAGTTTTTCTTAACCATTTTTATATATGTATATGTATAGAGAGTACCGATTAGAGATTACCAGCAGTTTGTTTTTTTGTCACCTCATTTGATCCGACACTGACACTGACACACGCACTCGAATGCAAGCTAATTTGACATTTTAACCTTACAAATCGATTATACATCATCCTACATCTATAAGCACATAACTCCCCCTAGTTATACATACATAGAGCTTAGGTAGTTTTCGTTCAGCTTAGGCACCGTGTACATAACATTATACATTATTATAATATTTTCAAAACCCCGCCACCAACATATAGCCCACATCTCTCTATCTGCGCCTAGAAATGTAAGACACGAGACAGTTAGTTAGTGACTAACTTTGAGGAGAACGAGTACGATAAGTAATGGACATGTACATTATACTACACACCCACACTTACATATATAGCACCATCCTCGATTGGAATAGGTCTTAACTGACAAGAAAGTAATTCTCACGCGATACATACATATAACTAAACCCATATGATGTCTGATTCAGGGGGGAAAATAATCCCACCTGATATGGTAATGAGTTCATTAGTTAAGATCAAACGAAACTCTAAACTGCATTAGTATTTGACTTGTAAACCAATTTTTGGAGCCCCTAAGGATCATTCTTAACTATATATATACCTATATATATATATTAGATACGTATTATGCATTAATTTACGTTAACTGAGAATAAAAACAAAAAATTGTGTAAACTGTTTGTATAAAAAAAAAAATAAGAACAAAACAAAACAAAAAAAGAAGAAAACGAATCAAATTTGTTTCATTTTTTGGATCCAACCAACCCAATGCATTTGCTAACTAGAATTTATAGCTATGTATGTGACACATTGAACACCCAACAACACCTATCACCTACCATATACGATAGGTATATGTACGGACAATATTTGAGATTAAAAACCACAACACATTTCTTCAAGTTTGTATTAGAAAAACAGGTAAACATTCATAATATTATCCACAAGAATAATAAATTGGAAAAAACTTTTGAAATTTGGATAGAACATGATTGGTAGTGGAAACCATAAAATGATTGCGCTCAGGTTATAAAATGTAAAGAAAATTACAAGACATTCTAATATATATGATATATAAAAATCGCATTACTAACCGATATACCCAAAATAAATATACGTCTAACACGTTTAACGAAAGGCTGTTTGTAGAAATTGTGACACAGTGTTTTTTTTAACCCGTCGTCTCCCGGAAAATAATCACGAAAAGTTACCAACTCGATGTGTAAATTAACAAAAATTTGCACTTTCACCTTAAATGTAGAATTTATGTAGTTGCTTACACTATCCAGAAATATATAGTGATCTGGTGGCTTTCTGCACTCTGAAAATATTATGTACATACCTGAAGGAATTCAAAAATGAATAATAAATGTAGTAATGTCGTCGTACATACGTTTAGAGAAAACTTTGTGATTGCTTCTCATTGATGATGAAATAACTGTTTTGGTAGGGATACTAATGGCAAATATTTTTTCTTATAAACAGCATGTAAAAAATAAACAACAACACTCGATATACTAACCAATTCAATAATGGCAAAAGCAAATTGTAGGTCGCCACAAGAAGTAGTTAACAAACACGGTATGCAAAAGTATATATTTCAAAATATACACATTTAAAATAACAAAAACAAAAACCCACGTATAATCACCGTAATGTCGAAGATGCTTAATCGAATATAATGATATACGAGTATTTGTGTATGGGAAAATTTGCTAAATGTTGTAAAAAGTATATATCGCGATTATTATTGTAGCACTCGAAATGGAATTACTCCTCTCATGTAGAAAACTTCATCCAGTCAAAAAAAAAAAGAAAAAAGCACGCAACAAAGTTCCCTAATACTTTACCACTTACGGATACGATTTGGTTTCCTCGACCCCCAGAATGAAATCTTAAACATTAAAACTGTTTAACTGTATATATGTAATTATTCACAAGTAGTAGACGTGTGTGAGTGTGTTTATTATAACCACATTAACCGATTATTAATGCAAACATGATACATGAACCATTCGCGAAGAATACTCTCTTGGGCGGCGCTAGATTTGTAAATCTACAAAATGCAATCCTTTCTGCCTCCTGGCAAGGATCTCGCATAATTTACAGGCAATTCGTGAAGACACACTAACCATTGTATTAACTAAACCACACTAAATAAACCAGCATTAGACTTACTAAACATTATTGTAACGTAAACCAGAAAAAAACAAGAATATGAAAGATGAAACCGTAAAAATGCTTTCAAACTAAATAAAGTTCTTTGGAATTACAATGCAAAAAAAACAAAAAACAAAAAAAACCAAAAAAAGATACAAAAAAGAATTGAAACTTTGTTTTTAATTAAAAATGGTTATGGTATCCTTTAAATAAAACACATTTATTTTTGTAGTTGGGCTTATAAAATAACTTTCATATATTCAATATAGAAAAGATTTCAATCTTATTGTTTCCACGATTCTGTGGTTTTTATGGCTTAACTCCTTTTTTTCAACATACCCACTATCCTTCAGGGTAATATCAATTTCTGGGGCAAACTTACTTGTCTAAAAGTCGGAAACTGTTTCAGCTTCGGCTTAAAAACTAAATTGGTTCTGCATCAGTCTTAAAAAACGAAATGAAAAAAATGCCTTTTACAAAAAAAGTATGCTTCTCTCCTCTCAGTGTCATCGGAATATTATGGGAACTATACCATATTAAATGGATATTAAATACTGAATCAGTTAATCTTTTTTTCCATAGATACTGTAGCTTTTCTCGATGAAGATCTGAATGGAGCGTTTGACGTTTTGCTTGTGCGGTTCCGGAAGTTGCTCCAATTTAGGAAGGATCTTCATCAGAAAGCGAAAGTCCGGCGACAGATTAATATTGGTTTCAGTCTCATCCGGGTTGATTTGAACCTCATCCTCTTTTTCGATTTTCTCAATTTTTGCATTCGCAATGGGAAGTGGCATCTGAACGGGCGCTGTGGGTGTAGGACTTGGATTCGACGCTATCTTAACAAAGTTTGTGGGATTCTTTTTCGGCGGCAATGTGATATGAGGACGATTTAGTGTCAGCTTGCTGGCAGCTGGTGTGGAGGGCTTTATGGGTTTTTGTTCCTTGTCCTGAATGCGATGCAGTATCTCCGGGAGGAGTTTCTCCAGGTGCTTTGTTAGATTCGCCTGCGACTTGTCGGCCACAATCATTAGTTTCTTGGCCTCCGATTCCTTCTCCTGTTCAACAACCACATACATCTTGCGTTTCTTGGTCTGGCCATTGGTCTCTGGGGCATGGTTGTTGGACTCATCGGACTTCTCGGTTATCAAATAGAGTTTACGCTTTTTGGACTGTCCGTTCTCCAATCGGTTTGTTCCGTTCTGAGAATCCTCCAGGGTGGACAGTGGCAGAGAGACCTCGTAGTCGGAACTGATGGACTGCACATCACTGGAAGCTGATGAGCTAATGGAGTGGGAGCGTTGCGGCAAGGATAAGGTAATGGTCTTCTTGGCCTGATCTCTGGAGGCAGTCTGAAAAATAGGTTTTTTTTTATTATAAACTACCCTCCAACTAAATACATACATATATTTGTACATTACACTACTCACCTTAACAAGTTCTATAGTGGTTCCATCCACCACCGTTTTGGCCACTCCATTGACCCCTCCCGTGACTTCTCCTCCTCCTCCGTTAGTGGTAGACATTACCGACTTGGACGACTTGCGCAGCGGCGTCATCTTGATGCGGGTTTTGGCCATCGCCTGTCGTTGGCTAAAGTGCCTGAAGCAGATGCGCAGCTTTGGCAGACCGCCGAGCTTCTCCACTAGATTATCGCTGACTCCAAAGTGTTGTAGCCACTGCTTGCAGCTGTCGATTAATTAAATTTCAAAATTTAATAACAAGATAAATAAAAGCTTGAATTTAAACTACTAATTAAAGCTGTATTAAAACGGGACTTTGTTGCAAACATACCAATTTAAAGCGAGTGTCGGAGAGCGGCGACTTGCGATCGGTTGTGCAGTTCTTTGTTTTCTGAAAACTGCATCTACATTGGCGTCGGCGTTCTTTGCACGCAGACGCTTTCCCGGAAGCTTTCGATTAGATCCGTCTCTCTCTCTCGCCATTTTTCTCTCCCTATGGTTGAAAGTTTATGCTCTCCCTCACACACTCACACACACACACTCACACCCACGCCGGCCATTGTGAAAGCTTTCGCTCTCGCGCTCTCTGACAGCAAACGGAAGTTCGATGCCGGGCATTGTTGTTGTTGTTGTTGTTGTTGTTATTGCTGCAGCTTCAACTTCCCCCATTTGGGTTTGTTTTGTTTTTGCTTTTCGTGGGGAGATGGTGCTGTTTACTTGCTTTATGGATAGAAACAAATACAACTCCAACTATGGTTGGAGTGGACATGATTCTCGAGTAAACAAGGTAACTAAATATTAGCTAGTTTATCTACCATTGACGAAATTATAAAGCAAAGTCTATGCTAATCATGTTTTAGATAAAGAAAGCTTTTAAAAATTACATAAATATTGTTTTGAAGCCTAAAAGTTCTATTCATAGTGAAATGTAAAGCTCATCAATGAGAGTTAGATAAGACACTATCAAATATTGACAAAGTCGACTTCTTTTGTTTTTCGGGGAAATGACTCGACATTCCTAACAGACTTTCTGATGATGTCACAATGGCAGAGCTTTTATGATAATGATCACTTATCAATGTATTTATGTATAACCTTTAAAGTTTTGTCACCAATACTCTGTATATGAAGGTCCACCCTAAGCCCCATGGCCAAGCTGCATTGGCAGACAAAACTTTTTTTTTTTTTGTTGCAAAACAGAAGGCAAAGAGTCGTCGATGAAAAATAAAATAACTTCACGGCCAACAGAGCAGAGCCCCAAACGCATTTTCTGCATTTACAGGAGACCGTGAGAGCTAAAAATAAATGGGAATCAGCCACCACCCCGCCCACAATCATTTCGTGCCATTTCCTCCTCCCTCCCTCTGAAAACCTCTTAAACCGAGGCAGCATAATTTCTGATGCATCTGTTGCTGCCATGGCATTGAAATTTTTCTATGAAAATTATGCACTTCTGTGCGAGGAGGAGAGTTCAACGACCTTTGACTGGCAAAAAGAGGGAAATGGAGGTAAGCGGAGGCCAAAGCTTCGGTTCTTATCGTATATACATACATATGTGTGTGTTTGTGTGTGCAGATATAAAGAATAAGAATTTCTGATGCGCAACAAGCTAAGCCTGAATCGAAGAGCTTTTTAAAGGCTTCCTCGGTCCAAACAGGTTTAAATTGGTTTCGGGACTTTAAGATAATACTAACCGATTTGGATCGTGGACTGGAAAACGGCGCAGCTCATTGGGCTTCACATCCTGGCAGCCCATAAGGCAAGTCCTGGGTGAGGAAACCAGAACAGAATCCTGACCAGAGGCTATGGGATTCAGGGACATGGCCTGGCAAATCCGTAAGCTAGTCATTCTAAAATAACAAAAAAAACTGGGTTAGGATTATCCAAAATTATTGATGGTGACCTTGAAGAAGTTCTTTGTTTCAAAGCTTTAATTAAATCAAGCTTAGTCTCTAATTAAAGGTCTTTAGGATCAGTTACAAATCAGATTAATATGAAAGAAATTTTGGTTAATAGGCATAATAGTCATGCTTTTATTTGATTATAGTATATGTACATTAGCTTGAGACCAAGAATAAAAGAAAAACTGAAAAGAGAATGAAAATAATTCACTCTCGCGCTTCTTACTCCTATTACTCTCTATCGGACAATAGCTTTCGTTGTTGCAGTTTGCTTAAATTTAAAGCTCCCGCCAATTAAATGCACAGCCATGAAAAAATTGGAGCTTTTTTCCCAGAACTGAAGCTTAAATTGCGGTCCCGCGTGGTCCAACAATTAAAGAACGCCATGAAATTCACAATTTTACTTCATTTTGTTCTTTGATATGTGAAAAGTAAACAAATTAAGAGACAACTTACCTGGTTAACGCTTGTTAGACGACTTTGTCTAGTCCACCAGCTGCACTATGGCTGCACTCGCGAGTTGAATAACCTTCTTGTTATTGTTGTTCTTCTTCTTTTATGTAGCTGTTTAGCAAAACAACGCTCGCAACGAGTTGCGTTTATCTCTTCGCGCCGCGTAAAGCTCTTGGTGGTGGGGCGGTAAATTCGATTTTCAACAATTAATGCGTTTGATTTGAGCGAGCGATTCAACGGAAGTCCCTTAATTAGTTCTGCATTTTACAGTCTACTGCGCTCTACATTACCTTCTCGGCAACTGCCGTTGTCGCAACTTGACAGGCGCCTACGACCAAGAAAGCTCCCACAAAGTTCGACGTAAGCTCGGTTTTTCAGAGCGAAAGTTTTAACCCCCTTGTGGGTAAAGACTCTCTGAAAAAAAGATCAGAGATCTTCGCCAAAAGCTTTGCCGATAGAGCCCTAGCGTTTTCGATAAATGACCCGGAATTTGAATGTCTATTTCCATGTTATACATTAGAGGTGAAGAATAATCGGATAGTAATCATCGAAAATTTTTTTTCGAGCGGCAATGGTGCAGATCTTTGTAGGTTAATGATGAGGGTTGCAATGGCCGGTTTCATCGGTTTTATCCTTTCACAACAGCTGCTTTGGGACACTCAGTAATGTCCCAATATTCCAATAGTCCCAAAGATGACCAAAGAGATGATTCTGTTTAGTTACGCGCAATTTTTGATATTCATTCATGGGCCGGAAAAAACCCGAACACAACTTTTTTTATTATTTTTTTTTTATTAAAAAGTGGTTTTCGGAAGCAAAAAAAACAAATTTGTTTCTTAAAAAAACTTTTTTTTTAATTATAATTTCTGCAACCGAAGAACAGACGGCTCTATGGTTCCCTTCAAATGTTATATAACAGACTGTTAACAAGGCAGTTCTATGTTGTGTGCCGTCGGTGAAACGCATGCGCGCCACTGTTGGCGGTTTGTGTATAAAAGGGAATGTCTGCACAGAACAAGCTTCAGTCTCGGCCAGTAGTTACCGAGACGATGTCGCAGTCAGAATGCGCAATGCCCTTAGCGGCGCTGTATTTATAGAAAATTAATGTTTCCACAAATAAATATTATTGGAATTATTATATATTATTATTATTATATAGTTAATTATTAATATAGTAAATTTTATGAATCACTGGCAAAAGCCTTTTCTGGTGCCCCTTAGTATCCATATCCGGTGGCATCTTTGTGCCACGTGTCTATTTCCTTCTCAGCTACATATGGCATTTGGTCACCGAATCTGCTGAATATTCTGCATCTGCTATACTTGCTCTATCTGCTTAGGCTGCTGCACCTGATATGCTTCACCTGCACCTGAAACCTTAATTACTCCAACATAATGTTACACTAAGAAGCCATTAAGTGCCTTAGCCCTGAAAAGCTTCAAGCGCAGGGTAAACTTAAACTACAATAAGACTTTAAGAATTTGTCAAGTTTAAGTCTTAAACAAACAAAACAAAGCACAACGGAAATTGATAGATCCAACTGAACTGTTACGTTTATACCTGTGAATTTTTCGAAAAACTTCTTCAATAGGCTTCAGCTTCATATTCATATTCAACTTCATCGCCTTGCTCTTGTTTTTCTTTTTCTCCACAACTTTCTTCTTGGTTGAAGGATCTTGAGCAGAATCCGATTCAAGGTTTCATCTTTCTACCATCATCTATTGCTTCTCAATAGTAGTATCCCTACAATTACTTAATTTTGCGAAACTTATTTAAATTACATTAGTTAGTGAGTAAATTTTTGGAAATTGTCCCCTTTTTTTTACTGGAAATGCGAATGTCTCAGGAAAATCATCTTTACAAGAAAACACCCATCATTTCAAGTGCGTGAGCATTTTGATGGAATTGGGTAGGACGCACCAAACTTTGAGGTAGACTATAAGGCGCGGTTTTTTTTATAGTGGTATCCCCAAGAGGCCTAATCCACTTTACAAATAAATACTTTCATTTTCTTCAAGTCTTTGCCCATTTTTCTTTATGTGTAGGGCTAGATTTTGAAGCCTTCTTCCGCACCAATGTAGACGTCATGGGCCAGCTTAGCACCCACTCTTTCCAAATGGTTTGAGTACAGCCACTTCAGGTTGAAGGTTCTATCTGGGAATTTGTTGATGATGAAAATAATGCTGATAATGAAAAAAAAAAGTAGTAATTAATTTATTTAATTAATAATTAATTTTTTAATTCATTAATTGGGTAGTTATTAAAAATGTTTCAAGATGAAACAAAACTATCAGAACTCTTCTGATATGGTTGAAGAATAGAAAAAATACTCAGGAAAAGGGACACCATTATTGAAGAGAAGGAAGAAGAGATAGAGGGATTTTTTTTTTAATAAATGTCAATGTAAGTTTAAAAAATCTTCTAAAAATATATATAACAGAATGGTCAAAAAAATTGAAAAACTGACAAGACGTACTGAATCACAAATTCATGGAACTAATTAGTTGATACCAAATTGATTACTTTAACCCCAAATTTTCCCCAAAACCAGTTCCACCCAATCGAAAAATTTAAAAATAAAGTGGTCCAGTTATATACCAAAAATAAGTATTTAATGTACTATTTATTTAATTAAAATGAATATGTATATGTTCATATTTTTCTCAGAATGTTAACATTTGCAATCTGTGTGATTCCGAAAAACAAGGAGTCGCCGGTGAAGCCGGGACTTAATATGTTGGAGGTGGAGCAGATAGAGTACTCAAAAGTTTACACTTGATATGTTGGAGGTGGAGCAGATAGAGCAGGTGCAGAAGCTAGAGCAGGAGGAACTCAAACCCAGTGGTCAAAGCAAATTGAGCAGGCACAGCAGCTGGAGAATATTCAGCAGATTCGGTGACCAAATGCCATATGTAGCTGAGAAGGGAATAGCCACGTGGTACAAAGATGCCACTGGATACCGGACAAACATCAAATATACACCATTGTGAATGGTGCCCGTATTCTAAAGTTCATCCAAATTTTGGTATGCATTATAAGTTTAAAAAATGTATGGGCAATGTTGGGAGCAAAAATTATACAAAAACCCGATCATAAAATTCTAGCTGTTAAAGTTTTATTGTGTTTGGCTTGGCACTTGTGAAGGCTTGGGAAATTGAGGCTGGTCCGGTCGGCAGGGCTATAATATACCAGCGGGTCAATTGACATGGAAAAATTTTGCAAATTTCCACAGACAATGGAAAATGACGTCTCGCAAACATGAGTGATGTGACAAGTGGATGCTTATCTGCGGCTAGACGCCCCTGCTTTTTTCCAAGGGGTTTTTCTTTTCGCCTGATGACCGACCATTGAAATTTATGACACCGACGAGCCGCCAATTGATTGCCTTTTAAAGACCCAAATGGATGCTGCCAGTTAAAAAATTGTAAGGCTATAATTAATGTACACAAATCGTTTGAACGCACGCCCGATCCAACACCTGCAGCACCTGATTGGTATACATATTTATTTATTGAAAAGCTTTTAACACTTTCAATTAATTATGGAATGGAAAACTTGTCGGCCCAGCCATGTAGAAAATTTATGGTACTTAAAAATGATAAGCGCAATTGCTATCTAAATGCAAATTTTCCATGCACGGCTTAGAGGCGAAGAAAAATTACTTGCAATTCAATAAAACGACCGATTCTAGATAGATGAGGCAAATAGCAATGACAATACAATTTGATGCATTTCATAAAATATATAAATAGATTTAATAAAAAAATGATTTAAAAAAATCGCATTCCAATTTTTTTTTTTTTTGATTTAAAAAGTTTACATAAAAAAAAAAAAAATTTTAATTGCCTTAAAATTGATACGATTGCATCATTAAAAGATGATAATATATAATTATATAAAACAAGCGCAGAAAGGTCGTTCCGGGTTGCCAAACAGAGTCGAATCGTAAATTCAGTAGCAGGATTGCAGGATATTATATTTTTTAATGGTTGAATTTTTATCTTTTCTTAAAAGTCATTATAAATTAGAACACGGACAACTTTAGAAATCAATAATTTTTGTATTTAAAATAAAAAACCAACTTTAAAAGCAATAAATTTGTTTTAAAAAAAAAAAATATTTATTTTTTTTAAATATTATATTTGCAACCGAAGAACAAAATGCTTTTTGTTCATTTCAGTTTCCCTCAAATGTTATTTAACAGGCTGTTCTATGTGTAACAGGTGTAACAGAGACAAATATATGCTTTTCGGCAAAAACTGTGAAACGCATGCGCGCCACTGTTGACGGTTTGTGTATAAAAGGGGATGTCTGCACAGAACAAGCTTTAGTCTCGGCCAGTAGTTACCGAGACGATGTCGCAGTCAGAATGCGCAAGGCCCTTAGCGGCGCAGAATTTATAGAAAATTAATGTTTCCACAAATAAATGTTATTGGAATTACTTGAAAATATTCTCGGGCAAGCCATTTAGTTATATAGTTAATTATTAATGGAGTCAATTTTCTAAAT